CAAGAAACAAAGGAACAAATGTGTAGAGATAAATCATGTTCCACAGGCAGCAGCGATCAGCTGTGTGGCTTTCTCTTCTTTACCGTGAATCTGTCTGGAGATAAATTATGGTGATGGTCATCAAGCAGTCGTTGCTACACAGCCATGGGAAGAGTTGCAACATTATCTGATGCTAAAAGTCGGGGAGCAGGGAGAAGGGTGAAGGGGTGACGCAGAGCCACAGAGGGAGGAGCAGAGACCCGTCTGTTCACTCCCCATCACCGCCACCAAAAAATAAGGAATGTTTGAGCGCCTCGTAGAGTCAGGAATGAGCTGGCGCACCTGCTCTCCAGGGCCTCAGCCATGGAAGGGGCAGCCCTGCTGACCTGAAGCGGCTGGAACCACAGACTCGACCTCCCTCAAGTGCAGATTGAATGGTTCCCTCGCTCCTCAAAACCCTCTCACAGGGTCAAGGACACCTGCTTCTGCTCGTCCCATAGCCATTCTCCTTCTGGGACTAGATTCCTGGGCTTCTGGGATTCAGATGAGGACTCAGCCCTCCCCACCTGTGGCGGTTAATCTTATGTGTCCACCTGACAGGCCACAGGGTGTCCAGACGTTTGGTCAAACACGATTCTGGGCGTGTCCGTGAGGATGTTTCTGGACGAGATTAGCATCTGAATCCGTAGACTGAGTGAAGCACATCGCCCCCCCCCCCACCCCCAGTGTGGGTGGGCTGCACCCCATTTGTTGAGGGCTTGGACGGAACAAAGAGCAGAGGAAGGAGGGAGTCGCTCTGCCTGTCCGGGCAGGGACGTAGGTCTTCCCTGCCCTCGGAGCTCCCGGTTCTCAGGCTTCAGACGCAGCCCGGAGTCCTCCCCAGCGGCTCTCGGGCTCCCAGGCCTTCAAAGGAGGCCGCCGGCTTTCCCGGGTCTCCAGCTTGCAAACGGCAGATTGCGGGACCGCTCAGCCTCCATAACAGCTTGAGCCAGTTTCTCAGGATAAATCTCTTTACATATATACATGTGTGTTCCCTATTGGTTCAGTTTCTCTGGAAAACCCTGACTGACACGGTCTGCCTGGAAGAGGACACCAGTGTAACCCCAGGCCCCACACGGGCCAGCCCCATGGGAGACACCCTGCAAACGTTTGGCCAGGGAATCCATATTTCAAGAAAACCGCTTTTGGCCCTTCTGAATGAGACCCTGGTCGCATCTTCCCGCCCCCACGTCACCAAGCTCCCTTGGCCATCACTGTCCTCGAATTTTGTAAGGGTCCCTGGAGCCAGGAACGGATGCAGTGGCTCTTGCAGTCTCAGAGGGGCTCAGCGAACATCCTTTAGAGATAAAGGAGGACAGCATTGCTTAGAATTTCTCCAATATTTTTTACCACAGTCTGTCCTTTCTTCCTTTTCTTTTGATTCAGAGAGAAAAGCAGACACACCAGGAGACAGGACACAATCCAAACCCCAGGGACCCATTTCAAAGCCGGCGTCAAGCCCTTCAGCCTCCTTTTTGGCTGGTAAGTAGAAACTTCTGACTCCATACGACAAGCCCAAAAGGCAGTGGAGGCCCCGTGGCTCCGAAAAATGGCAGGTGAATGACTCTGCTGTGGGCTCCCTGAAACCCCGAGGCCCCGGCAGCCGCAGGTCTGGGCACCTCAATGGGAAGGCGACGATGCGGGAAGGCAGGCAGGGTGCGATCAACTCAAAACCGCTGGGGAAAATGGTTTCTAAACTTCTGCCCAGCCAGCTGCCCTGTCCCCCTTCTCCCCAGGAAAGCAAAACAGATCCTAGCCACTGGGATGGGGGTGAAGTCTACGGCTACCCCAAAGAGAGTGCTGTCTCATGAGAAGAAATCCAGACTGAGGTTTCTTCTTCGAGACTGATTGATTGGGTTAAAGAAAAGAAACAGAGCACCCTCTATTGCAAACTCAATTGCCTGAGCAGCCAGGCTGGTGATGTCATGGTCAGTGGGCTGGATGTGAGAGAAAAGAGAGAGTGATGACAAACGTGAGGAACGCGAAGACAGGCCCCATCTCACCTGGGGCCCTCCCCACGGCTCCCCACCACTGCTGCCGCGTGGAAATACAGCCCTGCACTGTCATATCTTTTGATTTTTCAATAAAAGTTAGATAGCCATATTTTAAATTCTCATCTCACGACAATGAGACCTATTCACATTTTCTAGAAAGCCCCGTGCAGGTGCCTGGCCCAGAGAGCCTCAGACTGGATTCTGCCCTGAGGCCAGATGTTAAACGAAAGAGCTTGATCACCGAGATTAAGAAAACAGACATTTGCCATCAGGGTAGCTGGCGGTGGTTGTGTGTGGGCTTCCCTGTGCTTCTCACTAATTCCAGGGTGGCGGATCAGCGTGATCTCAGTTATTGAACAAACAGTAGGGTGACCAACTCACCCTGACTTGCCTGGGACTCACCCAGTTTTAAAACTGAAAGTGCCACATCCCATGGAGCCCCTCAGGCCCAGGAGAAGCAGAACAGCTGGTCACCCTAACCAGGAGACACTTGGCGAGGCACTTGGGAGCTCATTAGCTTGAAGAGGAAACAGACCCTTTGAGAAATAACCGTGGCCAGCAATGAGGACTGTGCCACTCCGACTCAAGGTCAAACATCACTTCTCCTGACCTCCTGACCTTCACCTTGTGGAACCCAAGCTGAGCAAAGCTGTGCCTTCCGACCGAGCCTCTGCAGCCTCCAAGGCGTGGACCAGAATTGCTGTGAGAGCCGGGTCCCCGAGCAACTGTGCGGAGCGGCCTCCCTGCCACCCCCCACCCCCGGCACTGGGCCATGAAGAAGGACAAGATTTGAGCATGTGAAGCCACTGAGATTTCAGGGTTGTTTGTCACGGCATTTGGCCCACCCTGACTGACACACTATGAGCATTACCTTTGTGGCCAGCGGCACCAGGCATGCGGGTGGCTGCCCTACCCCAGGTAGACCCCCCCCCGGTTTCCTCCTCGAGGAGTGTGGATTCCGTGCTCAGGGGCCTAAATGGTCTCCACCGGCTGCTTGCAGATAAGTAAGAGCAGGAGCCATGGGGTGGTCAGGTGCTCAGAGGAGAGGAGAAAGTTGATGGTAGGGGCTGAGTGGTGTCTCCCCTCCCTAAAATTCGCATTTTGAAATTCTAACCCCCAGTGCCTCGGAACGTGGCTGTGTTGGAGACAGGGTCTTTACAGAGGTAATTAAGCTAAAATGCGGTTGCTAGGTGGGCCTTGATCCAATATGGCTGATGTCCTCACAAGAAGAGGTGATGACACAGACACTCACAGAGGAAAGATGACGTGAAGACACAGGGAGCAGGCGGCCGTCTGCAAGCCTCCAGAACTGTGAGAAAATTCATTGCTCTGGTTTACGGCTCCCAGTCTGCAGTCCTTTGTTCGGGCGGCCCAACCTGACTGTTACAACCGGTCAGCAGGAAAGAGGAGCATGAGGGTACGGCAGGGACAGGAGTCATGGGTTCCAGAGAGAGAGAGGCTTTCCTGACCCGTGGGTTTTTTCTGGTTCCGGTTCTGAGCCTTCACAGTGTCTGACTCTTCTTCCTGGCCTTCAGAGCTCAAGAAAACAACTCCCCTCTTTTGTTTAAGCTAGTCAAGGGAGTTTCTGTTACTTGCCACCAGGAAAGCCTGAACCACATAATTTAGTTTCATGATTCCAAGTATTCCCAGGAGGCTTTATTCCTAGGAATGTCCTTACCCCATCAGAGAAGGGAGATTTAATGCAAAACTCTTCTGTGGTGGACAGAATAATGGCCTCGCAAAGATATCCACATCCTAGCCCATGAACCCCGTGAATATGCCACTTTCTATGGCAAAAGAGACTTTGAAATGTGCCTAAGTTACGAGTCTTGAGATGGGCAGACCATCCTGGATTATTTTGGATTATCTAGGTAAACCCAATGCAATCACAAAGGTCTTCTAATAAAAAGAGGGAGGCAGGAGAGTCAGAGAGAGGCACTGGAAGACGCTACGCTCCTGGCTTTAAAGGTGAAGGAAGGGACCACAAGCCAAGGAATACGGGTGCCTCTAGAAGCTGGAAAAGGCAAGGGAACAGATGCTCCCCTACAGCCTGCAGGAGGAACGCAGCCATGCAGACACCTTGATTCTGACCTCCAGAGCTACAATAAACAGCTGGTGTTTTAAACTGCTGGGTTCGTACTAAGTTGTTACAGCAGTAAGAGGAAAGCAATACCACTTTGCATAGTGTAGTGTTCATAAACCCAGGTACCAAACTTGTTTAAATGCTTGTATCCCTTTTCCCTAAACTATTCATACTGAAGACGGTCAATCAAAGAATGCACCCAAGTTTTGAATTCTGGTTGAATTCAAAACAAAAAGCAATTAATGGGAAGAACAGTTGAACATTCAGCCTAAGTAGGTTACACGCTCACAGCCACATAAATCTTCAAAAGCGAATCCCATCCTTTCTCTTGCTGCCCTTGCACACCAACGGTTTACTCGATGGAGCACGTGGTGGGCACGACATCAGTGACGTTGGAGAAGTGCAACAGCTATGCCTTAACCCTCCCACCCCGCTCACGCACCGTCCTGGGCACCCGCTCCAGCAGGAGCAGGTCACACCAAGGGGATTTCAGTCCTAATGAGAGTCAAACAGTGAAAGAAAACAGTCAGATTTTCCAACTGCGAACCCTTTGGAGTTGCTTTCGCCCTGGTCTCCCGACAGGTCCCCCACCCCACCTTAAGTGACATTGTGGGTTAGCAGAGTGGAGCTGCGGGAAGGACGCTGTTTTGCCGATGTCAGTGCTATGGGTGCAGTCACAAACCCCTCAGACTGGAAAAAGCGGACAGCTGCGCCCGGCAGGCTCACATGTGCCGGCTCCATCTGCTAAATCATTAAAACTGAGGCTTGGCAGAGTCTGCAGAAAAACACATTTGTTTTCTCCATAAAGAGGAAGAGTAAACTTTCCTGGCGTCCTCATAAGTTTTTGCAATTACTTTAATGTGCAAAGCGCCTGGTACAAAGGCAGGAAGCTGTTACACGGGCTAAGGGGCCAGATCCAGGCTTTCATTAAAGTATATTATATGTTAAACTACACGTTCACTCACTCTGGTTGCTTAACCATCATTTCACAGTAATAAGACACATTATGCCAAAGCTCCCAACAACGTCCAGAAGCTCTGCAATTTGCCTCTCACGCTAACACACGTCTAGGGCTGACATCCAACGTGGCAGGCTCCAGGATGGTCATTCAGAGAAGACAGACTGTCTTGGGGAGGGTGAGAGGTACAATTCACACACGATCCTTGAATCACCAGGAAAAGAGAGAATGAGTCCACGAAATCTGAAAAATAGGAGTGTCCCAGCTTTTGAGTCCAGAGAAAAGCCTTTATTTCCATCCTTTTAATAAGTGATAGAGAATCTCTCCCAGGTTTCAGGTTTCATTACCAGTTATGTTCCAACCCATCCTCATCTTCCCCTAAAGCAGAAGCGATGGGAGCCACTCAGATGGCCTGAATTTCCGCTCTGTCCCTTGGTGAGTATGTGACACTCTGAGCTTCAAGTTTCTCGTCTGTTAAATGGGCATGATAACGATAGTTCCTTCTGAGAGCTGCGGAGAGAATTGAGGGAGATGACACATATAAAGGACTTAGCACCGTGCCTGTCTCATAAATACCTATTATTATCATCATTATCATTTCTCTGAGACTGTTTTATTAGCTGTGTTACCCTCATCCTAACCCTGGTACAGACGGTTGTGAGACTTAGGGCAAACTGCCGCTCGTGGGCCTCATCCTGCTGGCCCCCTGCTTTTGTACGCCTGTTGAACTAAATAACAGATTTTACATTTTTAACAGACAGAGAAGAACCAAAAGAGGAGTGTTATTTTGTGATGTGTGGAAATTAAATGAAATTCAAATTTCAGTGTCCACAGATAAAGTTCTGTTGAAACAGCCACGCCCACTCATTTATGTAATGTCTATGCTTTGTGCTAGAACGGCAGAGCTGAGTAAATTGCAAGAGAGACACGTGACCCGTAAAGCTGCAAATATTTACTAAATTCCCCTTACAGGAAGTTTGCTGACTCTCATTCAAGGGAATAAAAGCATTGTCTTTGGAAGTCTTGGCCCAGGCTCACAGTTGGTGTTGAAAACTCCCAAGGCCTGACCCACTAGGATGGATGTGAGAAACAACTGCAAAGACAGACATTTTCATTAGCTCAGTTACGTCTCAACCAAAGACAAGGCCGAGAGGGCCCTGCGGCTTGGATTCGTGGGAAGGACTCTGTCACCGGAGCCGTGTTTGAAACCTAGCTTTGCCACCTGCGAGCCATGTAACTTTGAACGGGTGGCTAGCCTCACCAAGTTCTCTCCTGTAAATTGGGGTGTCAATCCCTTTGGCATAGGGTTGTCATGACAAGTGAAATATATGGCAACGCCACTGCAGAGGATCAGATGTTCTGCTGGTGAGTGACATTTGTTGGCTCCCTCCTTCCAAACATTGTCTTGGTGGTCTAGCAAAACAAAACATACCAAAAGAGAAAAAGTGTTCCATGATATGAAAAATACCGTAGACTTCTAGTTTCAGCTCCGACATGTAAACAGTGCTTGGACGTCGTCTCTCCCATCCTTACAACAACAAAGAAGCTGAACAAACTGAAAATCAATGACTTTCCTTAGACCAATCAGAGACTGAGTTTTCAAGATAAAGTGCCACTCTGAACTCCAGAAAGACTGATGAATCCAGAGTCACAGGTGAGCCATGCCCACCTGACGCAGAAGCTGCTGGAGCCATAACTAGTGGGAACAGTTAAATGGTAATTTTCATGAGTTGCTAAAGGCCGAGCATGAAGTAGCCAAGAGTGAGGACCTCCTGGGGGTGCAGTCTCAGAAGGAGCCCACAATCTCATGGGCTTTATCTCCGGGAAGTGCACACGCTTCTCACTGTGAAGACCCAAGAGAGATCCCCTCCTGGAGGGAAAGAGTAATCCTTGTGAGGTACACTCAGGGCCTTCTCCATACAAAGGTCTGCTCTCCAGGGAAAGACTGCCAGCCTTATCCCAGCTGGGGGGAGGCCATTCCTCTCCCTTCAACCCCCTCTGGCCTTCCTGTCTCACTTAAGGGTGGAGGTATGGGTGAGAAACACTTGTGAAGGTCACAGGCCACTCTCATGGGCCCATTAAAAGAATGGAGGTTTAACCTGAAGATCACAGAACCCTCCCCACCCCCACATCCTACCACCACACCAACAGGCTCCTGTATAACAGTGCATCGGGCTCCAAGACACAGGCTGTCTCTGAGGAGGCGGATCTAGGGAAGTTCAAAGTCAAGAGGGAATTTAAAAACAAGGACACTAGAAGAATTTGAAGCCTCTGGCACCTACGGCTACAGCAAACATTACACGTAGCCCAACTCTAAGCCAGAATAACATAAATCTTCACAGTAAAGGCCTGTTGACCTCAATATCCAGGACTTGATAGAACACATCTGGCTTTTAGCAAAAAATTACAAGGCAACTCAAAAGGAAACAATAACAACAAAAAAACACAGTCTGAAGAGACAGCAAGCATCAGAACCAGGCTCACATATGACACAGATGTTGAAATCATCAGGCAGAGGATTTAAAATAACTATGATTAATATATTAAGAACTCTAAAGGAAAAAGTAGACAACATGCATTATGATGGAGAATGAAGCCAGAGAAATAAAAATACTAAGAAATAACCAAAAGGAAATGCCAGAGATCAAAAATAATCTAACAGAAAGGAAGAATGCCTTCGATGGGTCATCAGCAGGCTGGACATGGCCAAGGAAAGAATTAGTGAGCTTGAGGATTCATCAGTAGAAACTTCCTAAGCTGAAAAGCCAAGAGAAAAAATGATGATAAAAACAGAACAGAACACCCAGGAAGTGTGGGAAATTTCCAAAAGATGTAAGATACATGTAATTAAGATGCCAGAGGAAGAAGAAAGAGAATGAAGAACAATATTTGAAGAGATAATGGCTGAGAACTTTCCAAAATTAATGACAGATATCAAACTACAGACCCAGGAAGCTCAGAGGATACCAAAAAGCTACAGTTGGGTGGATCATACTCAAACTGCAGAAAACCAAAGATGAAGAATGAAACCAGAAGGGGCAGAAAAACCTCACCTCTAAAGGAACAAGGATAACAATTACAGTAAACTTCTCATCAGAAACCACACAAGCAACAAGAGTAGAGTGAAATATTTAAAATGTTGAATGAAAACAAAAAAAAGGGCCAACTTAGAATTCTATATCCACACAAATTATCCTGCAAAACTGAAAGAGAAATAAAGACTTTCTCATCAAACAAAAACCAAAGGATGGTGTTGTCAGTGAACACGTTCTGTGAGAAATGTTAAAAGATCTTCAGGCAGAAGGGGAGTGATAGAGGTCAGAAATTTGCATAGATATTTTTTTTAAAAAAGAAAAAGCATCAGAGAAGGCATAAACAAAAATAAAATCTTTTAGGGCCAGCCCTGGTGGCCTAGTGGTTAAGTTCAGCACAGTCCATTTCAGAGGCCCAGGTTCGATTCCCGGACTCAGGCCTACACCACTCATCTATCAGTGGCTGTGCTGTGACAGTGGCCCACACACAAAATAGAGGAAGATTGGCACAGATGTTAGCTCAGGGTGAATCTTCCTCAGCAAAATAAGTAAAAATAAAATAAAATCTTTTACTTTTCTTATTCATATTTAATCTAAAAGATAACTGTTTAAAGTAACAATAGTTTCTTAATTTGCTCAGGCTGCTATAACAAAACACCACAGAGTGGGGGAAGGGGGTGTAAACAACAAACATTTATTTTCTCTCAGTTCTGGAGGCTGGAAGTCCAAGATCAAGGTTCCGACAGATTCGGTTTCAGGCGAGGACCCTCTTCCTGGCTCGCAGACAACCATTTTGTCTTCACACAACCTTTTCTTGGTGTGTGCTCGTGGAGAGAGAGCAAACGAGCTCTCCGATGTCTCTTCTTATAAGCACACTAATCCTGTAGGATCAGGGTCCCACCCTCACGACTTCATTTAACCTTAATTCCCTCCTTATAGGCTCTGTCTCCAAATACAATCTCACGGGGTGTTAGGGCTTCAACATATGAAATGGAAGCAGGGGTGCACAATTTAGTACACAGCAAATAGTAACATTGTATTGGGTGATTACAGCACCTGGAGAAGGGAAATGAACGGCAGCAATGTCACAGGGGCTGGGAGGGAGGGATTGAGAGGACTGTGCTATGAAGTATCTGCATTACACACGAAGCTTTACGGAACTACTGAAGGTGGACTTCCACACAGTGATACGGTGCTTAACGACAGGGATCTGTTCAGAGAAATGCATCGTGAGATGCCTTCTTTGTTGTGTGAGCATCACAGAAGGCACTTACACAAACCTAGATGGGGCAGCCTACTGCACACCTAGGCTGTATGGTACTAATCTCGTGGGACCACTGTCATATATGCGGTCCATCGTTGACTGAAACATCGTCATGTCGTGCATCACTATAGTTAAAATTTATATTGTGAACTCTAGGGCAACTGCTAAAAATGCTTTAAAAAGAAGTATAATTGATTCACTAAGAGAAGAGATTAAATGGAATTACATAAAATGGTCAATTAAGACCAGAGAAGGCAGGAAAAGAAGCCTCTGGCAATCACTAGCTAGCCGTTACAAACGTGGTTGATATTAATCAAATTATATCAATAATTAATTTAATGTGAATGGTCTAATTACACCAATTAAAAAACAAAGACTGTTAGAATGGATAAAAACGAGACCCAACGTATGTTGTACAATAGAAACACAATTTAACTACAAAGACTCTGACAGGATAAAAGTAAAGGGGTCATGCAGAGGATTCTGGGAAAAATGGCAGAGTAGGAAGCAGTCGGAAACTGTCTCCCCACCCAGACAGCAACTGCACTGGCGGAATCTGTCTGATGTAACTATTTTGGAACTCAGGGGTCCATGGAAAGCTTGCAACTTCCAAGGGAAGGCTTGGACAGCAAATTTTGGTTAATTTAGGTCCATTTCAGCTCTTGGTCCAGAAGCAGCTACCCATGCCCCACTCCAGCCCAACGGCAGGTGGCCATGCACGTGTTCCTGGAGCAGCTTGCACACAGCTTGCAGAAGCCAGAGTGGGCAAAAAGGACCCTGTGCTCCAAATATCAGGGATCTGTGCTCCGATCGCTGCTTCTGATCCCAGAGGTGCAGACAGAGACAGGCAGCCATTTTGCTGAGCTTCCCCCAGCTGTTGTAAGTCCCTTTCTCTCCAAGAGAAGTGACTTCCAGGGATTTAAAGGACCAGGACACTTTTTTTCCTACCCATCATTTTAGTCTTTTTCCACTTTGGGGAGCCAGACATTAAAGACTAGGACATTCAAAAAAGGCTGTATACATGTGGAAAATTAGAAAGTGACCATGCATGCCCAGGGGAAATGTCAGAAAAGACCTCATACTCACTAGCGAAAGACTAAAAGCTTCTCCTCTAAGACCAGGAACTAGACAAGGATGCCCGCTTTCACCACTTCTATCCAAATAGCACTAGAAGTTCTATCCAGAACAGTTGGGCAAGAAAAAGAAAGAAAATG